CTAGGAAAAGCAAAGCATGGTTCAAGAAAGGAAATGAACAATATTTATAGAGGCATAGAAATGGAATCGCTGACTATGGATTTAAGCAAAATTTGTAGTGTATCTATAGCAGGGTGGGGAGAGGTTAAGAGGGCCAGTAGAGGGATATAATCCTATCTGCCAAGACAGGTAATCAATATATAATGCCTAAAATCAATGAATAAGAGAAGAAAAGCTAAGAGTTGTAAATGGTAATTCCTGGGGAGCAGAGCTGCTGGATTTTTAAAAAATATGTATTATATACTTTTTATATATATTTTACGCAAGAATATATCACTTCTCAAATTACATATCATTTTTATTTTATTTTAGTTTTTTGAGACAGAGTCTTACTCTGTTGCCCGGGCTAGAGTGACGTGGTGTCAACCTAGCTCACAGCAACCTCAAACTCCTGGGCTCCAACGATCCTCCTGCCTCAGGCACCCGAGTAGCTAAGACCCCAGGCAAGTGCCACCACACCTGGCTAATTTTTTCTATATATTTTTAGTTTTCCAGGTGATTTCTTTCTATTTTTTTTTTTAGTAGAGACAGGGGTCCCACTCTTGCTCAGGCTGGTCTCGAACTCCTGACCTTGAGCAATCTTCCCACCTCGGCCTTCCAAAGTGCTAAGATTACAGGCATGATCCACCACACCTGGCCTACATATAATTTTGTGATAAAATATAGGAGTTACTTTTTAAAATACTAGACAATATTGATTAAATGAAGTTCCTGAGACAGTAGGAGGGTATGTAATCCAGGACAGGAAGTGCCAATCATCTGGGACAGGTGCTGAAAAGGTGAAGTGGGTGTAGAAATAGATGTTGCCCAGGCACAGCAGCTCACGACTGTGACCCCAGCACTTTGGGAGGCTGAGGCGGGAGGATTGCTTGAGGCCAGGAGTTTGAGACCAGCCTGGGCAATAGCAAGACCCCATTTCTACAAAAAATAGAAAAATTAGCCAGGCGTGGTGACACACACCTATAGTCCCAGCTACTTGGGAGGCTGAGGCGGGAGGATTGCTTGAGGCCAGGAGTTTGAGACCAGCCTGGGCAATAGCAAGACCCCATTTCTACAAAAAATAGAAAAATTAGCCAGGCGTGGTGACACACACCTATAGTCCCAGCTACTTGGGAGGCTGAGAAAGGAGGATCTCTTGAGCCCAGGAGCTTGAGGTTGCTGTGAGCTATGATGACACCAGTGCACCCTAGCCGAGGTGACAGAGCGAGACCCGGTCTCAAAAAAAAAATGTTTGAGACTTATACTAAAAAATAATCCCTATTTTATCTGAAATTGAAATTTAACTGGGTGTCCTGTGTTTTATTTGCTCAATCTGGCAATCCTAAATGAGACACATTGGCCTGCTCGGCTATAGTGGAGAGAGTATGCTGAGAGTCACACAATAGAACAAGCACTGTCCTTGTACCTATTTTTCTAACGGTTTCATAGGCTTTTAGTCAAGAGGGAATGACTCAAGCTGCAGTATTGAGAAATTCAATTAGACTGAGTTGCATTGAAATGCTCTGGAGCCATTTGCACACGGAGCAAGCAGGCTGTAGAGGCTGGGCCCTCCGGACAACGGCACTCCCGGCAGGCTGGCACCCATTTATGCCTGGAAGCAGAGGGATGGATGACCTCAGTGAGGGCTTAGAAAGAACCGGAGAGTTGCGATGCCTCCCAAGTTCTCCCCTGGCGCCCGCCCTACTGCCTTTTCAGGCCCAGCCAGGCTCTGGCTCTCCTGCCTGTTTATAGAGGTGGAAAGGGACAGGCAGAAAAGATCCCCCAGAAGCAGCCCCTCGTGGGGGAGGTAGGTGCTGGCTGAACGCTGACTGGGCCCTTTGCTTTGTACCCATCCTGCTTATTCCCAAACAACAAAAGTGCTGCTCAGCCGCCTGCCAGCCCCATTGTGCTCTTACCACAAAGTGCTGAGTCCCAGGGCTCCCCTGGCCCCATGACCTCACTCTCTCCCTCACTGGGCCCAGAGGCAAGGCCAGGGGGGGTCCAAGCCATCCATAAAATTCTATTGAGCACCTCCCAAGCTTGGCATGGAGCCCTGGGGTCCAGAAGTCCAAGGTTCAAACTGCCCAGGTTACATTTGGGCAGTTGTCACATTCCCCTTCATGCCAGCCACCACCCCCAAATCTAGAAGCCTGTCCCATTTGACAGCCAGCTGTCCCGCTTGCGTGTGCAAGGAGTGCGTGGGCTGCGAACACAGTTCACAATCCATGTCCGCAATGGAGTGACGCCTTTTAGAAAACGAGATTGATAGGATGCACTGCTAAAATCGAATAAAGAAAAATATTGGAAAAGTAGAAAAACGGAAAGATTTTGGTCTTTTCCAAATTCCAAGAAAACATTTTTTATCTGAATTTTTCTAAAATCTTTGCCGCTTGCTCCCCCTTGCCTGCATGAGAATCTGGCACAAGAGGGTATCTGATTTGGCACCATCAGTAATGCAGATAGCATGTATTGAGCTCTAACTGAGTACCTATCAATGCCCTAAACCTTGATCCCCCTTCAGCTGACAGCAGTGGGTAAGGCAGGTATTGTCATCTTACTTCATGCCAGTGAGGAGTATGGGCTTTGCAGTCAGATATGCACTGAAGTCCCTGCTATGTTCCCCGGCCTAGAACTTGGCCTCTCAGAACATCAGTTAACTCATCTGTAAAATGGGAATTATAATGATCTACTTCTTGGGGTTGTTGTGAGGATTACAAAAGCAGTGTCTAGTTTGTAGTCAATGCTCAGTAAGCTGTAGTTATTATTATTGTTGTTGTTGTTGTTATTAATGATGAACAGGTGAACAGGAGAGATCCAAACCCAGCGTGGGAGAAGGGATTACAAGCTGGTTGCTCCCTTCATTCCCACTTTTTGAATGGCTCTGCCCTAACTGTCCTGGAAAGAGATGGGGCTGGGGGCTGGAGCTCCAAGCCCATGACCAACAAGGAGCAGATCAAGCCGCTGTTCTGGACAATGTCAGAGCGGGAATTCTCTGGAACTTGGCTAAAAGCCATATTGAGTTAGCCTTTGGAAAGCTTGGCGGTTAGCACTGGACACCTGAGAATCCTTCTCAAGCTTCCAGGACTTTAATTGAGGAAAGCGGAGGGAGGACAGGTTAGGGCTGCTTACGACTCCAGGAATGCTTGATGGATATTTGTAAATTGTTGGCACGATAACCCTGATTTTTTCCTCCCACAATAGTTTTGTGCATGTGTGTTTGGGCTTTCCAATCAAAGCACAAAAGCCCCACTTTCCTGCAAAAATTAAATATGAGCTAAATCATTCTCCATAGTACTGACGATCCAGTGGAGGGTGCAAAGCTCCTGCATTGCAATGCTGACGGTGTGTGAAGCACAGACACAGCACGAGAGGGCCAGCTGGGGCTGGGGCGAGTGGGCCAAGCTCAGCTGGCACTCCTAGCAGTAAGGACTATCCCACGATCATCTCTGTGCCCCAAGACTCACAGAACTTAGTCCCTTCCTTCCTTCCTTCCTTCCTTCCTTCCTTCCTTCCTTCCTTCCTTCCTTCCTTCCTTCCTTCCTTCCTTCCTTCCCTCCCTCCCTCCCTCCCTCCCTCCTTCCTTCCTTCCTCCCTCCCTCCCTCCCTTCCTTCCAAATATATTCATGGAGCTAGGAGTTATGCTCAGAGCTGAAGATGTAACAATGAGCAAGGCAAATAAGGACCCTGCCCTTGTAGAGCACAGGGTCTAGTGGAAGAAGTGGATAATTAAGCAATCAGTTTTATTTTCAAAAATAACTTTGTTTTAATAGAAAACATGTTCTCAATGTTCAAAATTCAAAGGTTACAGAAAAATATACCATGGAAATTTTGTCCTTTACCTGAGCCCCAAGTACCTCAGTTCCCCTCCTTGGAGCCCAATATTTCTAGTTTCTAAAGTAATTTCTACGGCATAATCAATGTGATAATTGGGAAAGTACGAGGTGCTATGAGAGCACATTGTGGGGGTACCTAAGCCAGTGTAGGGGTTAAGGAATGAATGAATGAATGAGCAAATGACCAAATAAGTATTTCCCTAAGACCTCAATTCTGGAAAAGAAAGAAAGGAGGAAGAGAAGGAAAATGAAGGAAGAACTACCAGCTGCGGACAGCGAGTGCCTTCAGCCCTTACACAGCTACCAGGAGGCCAGAACCTGCTACGGTACCCAGGGCAACTCTGTCCTTTGCCAGCCAATGGTCTGGAGCTGATCAAAGCAGCAGAAACATCCTTGGGTGGCATGCCATGCTTGCCATCAGACTTATATGGCTAGAATGTTCTGCCCAAATCTGCAAATAACTCGCATACATATCAGACCTCACCCCCTAATTTTTGGCTCTGGGGAAAAAAGGGGGGCTCTGATGAAACTTGAGGCATGGTCTAGAGAGATTGCAGAAGGATTAGGAGAACTTTCTTCCCTCCGAGCTGCTATGAGATTTTCTATAGTGTCTGTCACAAGAGAAGAGAGCAGGATAATAAGTAATCATAAACCTACAATGTGTCAGGCAGATAGTATCTCCTTTTTTGCGGTTGAGAGAGGCTGGGATTTGAACCCACACCTACCTGGTTCAAAGTCCTCCCCACCCATTGCATCTTCTTACTTCTCACAATAACTGTGATGCTTGATCAACACCTCTTCCCCTTCAGGGCCCCCGGGAGGCCCACGGTTCCCCTACCCTACCTTGTCAAGTGTCCTGAACTTGCCTGGAGAAGTCATTTTACCCTTTAGGGCAGTGGTCCCCAACTTTTTTGGCACCAGGGATTGTTTTCATGGGAGACAATTTTTCCATGGACCAGGGAGTGGGAGGATGGTTTGGGGATGATTCAAGTGCACTACATTTATTGTGCACTTTTTAACTCATTATTATTTTATTATTACAATGTAATAATAATGGAATAATTATACGACTCAACATAGGTTGGGGACCCCTGCTTTCGGGTACTATAGGCACAGTACCTTGGGCCTATGAGAGTTTCAAGGGTTTAAAACAATATATTGAAACCCCCAAAAGATTGATTGGCTCCAAAATTTTAAAAGCAAACTGCAAAATTAAAATGAATATTTAATAAAATAGCCACAGAGAGACTCACATCTACTTATCAACTATAATTGAATTCAGCTCTTACATAGTTACATACACATATAGTATAATAAAGATTCCCAAGAACACAGTGAACCATTTTTTTCTCAATAAAATTCAGAATTGCAATAATCCTTGCACATTTTTTAACAACAAGAAGAGGAAATATATAGCCTGTATGGAAGTGAGGTGCATTTCGATGTGTTTGATATGACATGGGGCTTTCCACGGTCTTAGGACGGGCCCTGAGGAGGTGTGAGGAACCTGCAGAAGGACAGGGGACAAATGCTCAGGGCAGAGACCTCCTGTCCTCACCTTCTGGCTGCTCTGAGATGAAGACCACAGGAGCCAAGTTCTGCAGCGGCCAGCCTCGCCCGCAGCAGTGGGGCCGTCTGGATTTCTGTATCCCTAGTTGAAACAAAGGCCTGAGGGACGCCTGCCCAGCAGGCTGAGCCACCAAAGCTCCGGGGATCAGGGCGAACAAAGGCAGAGGGAAAGCAGAGTGCTGACAGGGCCGGAGGCCATCGGCCTCAGGGCTATAAAGAGGGGGGCCGCAGAGCAAGTGGCACCAGATGGAGACCCAGACTGTGCAGCGGGAGCTGGGTGAGTAAGGCCCTGAGGGGACCCTGCCTTTCCTCTCCTTCCCCTGCAGGGACATGCTCAGAGGAGGGCCCCGTTTTCCTGTCCCGTGGCCAGAGCCTTCTAGGGTGGCTGGACAGGAGTGGGGCACCTGGGGAAGGCAGCCTTCTCTTGTCAACCCAAGAGGAGTCATTTATGCGGCAGTAACTGCTGCTCAAGCAACCATGGCTGGGGCCCCCAAGAAATGAGCAGCGTCCTGGGGCACAGGGAGAAGGTATATGGGCCAGGAGTTGGGAAATGTTGCTTATTCAGAGGTTTAGAATGGAAAGACATGTCACAGAGTTTACATGCAGCCGCTCCTGGGACCAATACCAGCCAGAGGGAGGGCCACAAATATTTGTCTTGAGTCAAACCTGTTGCACACCTGCCCGTCTTCTTTCTTTCCTCTCTTCCCCCCTCCACCTTCTTTTCCTCCCTCTGCCTTCCTCTTATCCTGCCTTCTTATGCACATCCTACCTTCTTACTGTCTTCCTAATCTCTATGAGCCTCAGTATCCTCATCTGTAAAATGGGGATAATGATAGTACTTAGCTCATAGGCGTGTTGTGAAGATTAAATGCAACAACGCAAGGAAATCATTTAGAACAGGGCCTGGCATAGAGTGAGCCCCCGTTAACTATGATTATTACCTTCTTTTCTTCCTCACTTTCCTTCAATGAATCTTTTTCGATGCACCCCCCACTTCCCCTCTCAACATGTGTCCAGCATGGTGCTACGTCAATCACCCAGGAGACCCTGCTCAGCCAGTGCACATTCAATAGGAACACTCACCAGTACTGTGATGAGTGCTAGAAATCAAGGGAGACAGCAAGTGGCTGCAGGCTACAGAGGAGGCAAGGTGAAGGCTGGGTAGGTCTTGGAGACAGAAAAGCAGGAGGGAACGGTGGCACGGCCATGCACTGCGGCAGGTTGGTTTGAATGCTGAGGAGCCAGGTAAGGGTGAGACCACGAAGAGTCAGAGCCCAGGCTGTCCTTGTATCGAGGGCAGTTAAGGCTCAAGATCCTGGCACTGCTGGCGGTGTGGCCAGCCACATGAAGGGTCTGGACTAGATGGCTGCCAAGCAGTGTACAGTGGGGTATGTGAAACTGAGGCAATGCTGTCACCTTGAGGCAAGCCAGAGGTCAGGAATTACAGTTATCAAGAGGTCACAGTGTCCGTGCAAAGCTTTACCTGCATTATTGCTTCTAGTGCTCACAATAACCGCAGGGGAAGCTTTACCGATGGAGAAACCAAGGCTCAGCTGGTGGGTGGCAGAGCCAGGATCCCAACCCACACCTGTCTTTCGGACTTTAAGCCCCCTCTACTTTTCCCTGTGCTCCCTCACCTCAACCCCCCAACCCAGAGGCCACGTCAGTGCTGTGTGTTCTGTCTTCCAGAAAGCCTTCCAACCACCAAGATGGCTCAGACCAACCCTATGCCAGGGTCCCTGGGGCCATGGAAGGTAAGCCCACCCCCTTCACATGGAAAATTGAGGGATCCAACAGGGCAGAGATGAGATGCTGCCACAGAGCAGGCCCCAGGCCTGTGCTTGTCCATGAGCCAGTGACCAACCGGAGAAATCCCAGTCCGTGGGGGAAGGGTCCACCCAAGGTCCAGATGACACTGAAGAAAGGATATCTCAGATGCCCCTGTTTGGACAAAGGAAGGATGACTCTGGAAGCCAGTGATGGGTGGGAGATGCATAGTTTCCTAAGTCAACGATCCTCCACGCTGCTAAAAGCATCTTAAAATAGAGCAGCCCAGAGAGGATCATGCCCACAGAGAAAATGAGGGCCCGTAAATGAAGAAAGGTTTGCCACTGGATCCCAAATAAGTCATAGGACCCCAATCTCCTGACTCCCAGCAACTCTCCTTTTACACTTTAGGTTTCTATAGAGGGTATGACTGGAGAAGCTAAGAAATAATCCACAGGGAGTTCCTGGGATTCCCAGAATCCTAGCCTCTGGGCTATACTTATGCAGGAAGCATGGTGAAATGAGAGTCCACAAGTCCTTGGCCTGGCCACTGGGCAAGCTACTGTCCCTGGCAGACCATTCCTATCATAAACCAATCCTCCCTCACTAGCTTGGGCATATGAACACCACCAACCAGTGATGATAATTCAAACCGCTTCCTACCCTATCTATTCTGGAAGAGATCTCATCAGGCATCCTGGGATACAGCTGTTGACAGAAAACCCAGGGTCAGATACAAGTTAAGCTGTTGATCTGGGCCTTTTCTTCCTGACATATCAGATTCTAGCTCTCTTGTCCCATTCAATTCCATTTCAGATAACCATCTATGATCAAGAGAACTTCCAGGGGAAGCGGATGGAGTTCACCAGCTCCTGCCCAAACGTCTCTGAGCGCAGTTTTGATAATGTCCGGTCCCTCAAGGTGGAAAGTGGCGCGTGAGTATGACCTCAGCGGAACCGCAGGCCCCTTATTTCAAGTCCTTTCAGACATGGGACCATAATAGGGGTGGAGGAAGAAAGATGTTCCCTTAGACTCTAATCATTTCTTGCAGAGAGGCCTCCATACTGAAGTAAGCTCAAAATAAATCACTACATGCATAATTTAGTGGTTTGGTACTAGACTGGGGGGTGGTGCAGATTAAAGAATTATATACAATGGGGAGGGCCAGTGACAGGAATCAGACCTGGGCTTCAGGAGCCCACAGGCTGCTATCTAGGATTCCTTCAGAACAGCCACAGGACGCCAGAGTTTTCCTTACCTGTAGAAAACAGGTAGAGAGGAAACTGCCAAGCTGCAGCCTCTTTATAACTAACTCTCCTGTGTGTCCCAGAGCAGACATTGCTACCTAATTTCTCTATGAAAAAAGGAACTCAACCCCAGGACTCCAGAGGCATATTAGTTCCTAGTCAGTCTTGCTCCAGGTGTTTCTTGTGAATGGTTAATCTTGGCAAGGGGGGGACTCTCTCATTTTGTCTTCTGACTCTTGGCAGGGTAGTTGAGGCCTTTATCATCAGCCTGAAAATGCACAAGGAAAGGCCTCTCCATTGTCCCAGTCCTTATATGTGGATACGCTTCCACAAGCTGCTCGCCACCAAAATCAAGCTTCTTTAGCCCTTTAAAATGGGTAACATTTTAAGGTGTCATCAGTAACTGAGACCCAACTGTGAAAAACTGAGGTGAGGTGTTTCAAAAAATTAGGTATAGGTATGGGACAACAGGAGAAAGAACTCACAAAGTGATGAGGAAACAAGAGACTAGTAATCTACCAGGTGCCTATTCATCCCTTTGGTTTCTTACGAAGACACCAACAGGTTTGGCTACAGCCAAAGCAATAGCAAGTCACTAGATCCCGAACCTGCAGCTCCAGCCAGTCGAGAATACATGACTTGGAGAGAAAGGAAATGGAACTTTAGATTGGCTTTGCTAATACACATTACTCGGCCACTGAAGTAGATAGACTTTTTCAGTGGATAATCCCAAAACAAATATTCTATCTACAAACCTGCTTAGTGTAGCTGTCAGTTCCTTCCCCACCTCTCGTGATGAATTACTTTGTACAGCTCTACTGGGATTGGCTTGATGTTTTTATCCACTATTAACTTATCTAAAATGAAAGATACCTTCTCCCCAAGGCCGTATAGGCTTTGAACACCATGAACAAACAGCACTACATGTCTTTGGCAGCTGGATTGGTTATGAGCATACCAGCTTCTGTGGGCAACAGTTTGTCCTGGAGAGAGGAGAATACCCTCGCTGGGATGCCTGGAGTGGGAGTAATGCCTACCACATTGAGCGTCTCATGTCCTTTCGCCCCATCTGTTCAGCTGTGAGTCTCTGAAATTTCTACTTCTGTGCATGTGAGGGATGGGGCAAGGGGGTGCAGACAGACTGGCATTTATGTTATTTCTCATCAGTTATGCTGAATGTGAAACAGAAAAGAAATACACTACTTTCCCCTTCCTAAGTCTGCCATTTGATTTTCCCTACCACGTGGTATTTTCCTTAAGCTAAAAGTAAGGGTCTTTTCATGGCAGCAAGAAGCGGATACCAGGCCGGACGTGGTGGCTCACGTCTGTAATCCTAGCACTCTGGGAGGCCGAGGTGGGAGGATCACTCAAGGTCAGGAGTTCGAGGCAAGCCTGAGCAAGAGCGAGACCTCATCTCTACTAAAAATAGAAAGAAAATTAATTGGCCAACTAAAATCTATAGAAAAAATTAGCCGGGCATGGTGGCGCATGTCTGTAGTCCCAGCTACTCAGGAGGCTGAGGCAAGAGGATCGCTGGAGCCCAGGAGTTTGAGGTTGCTGTGAGCAAGGCTGACGCCATGGCACTCTAGCCCGCACAACACAGTGAGACTCTGTCTCAAAAAAAAAAAAAAAAAAAAAGCAGCAGATACTCAAGAGCCCAGTCAACTGGTGAAACACTAGTGAACTAGTAAAAGCACTTACCCTGTAGTAAAAAAGTAAACCCTTGTTCAGTTAAATTTCAATATGTGTAACATTTCACTGCAGAAACAAGGAAATGCTGAAGTCGCTGTTCAGTAAGTGGGAATGGGGAAGAAAGAGGCAAGTCTTCCTGTATCTCTTATCTGCATTGATTCATAACAACTTTTATTTCTAACACTAAGCATTATTCAATAATGCATCAGACTAGGACACTTCTAAAGTCTTTGGAAGAGTTCAAGCAGAAGCAAGATGACCTTCAAAGGATGTGTTGAAAATGATCCCTATATTGGGAGTGAAGCTGGACTAGAATCTTTCCAAATATAGTCTATATTATGTGATTTTCTCACGATTTTGGCTAATGATTTCACCTTAGTTCAAAGTTTTACCAAAATTCAACTGGTGAAGTTAACCTAAACAGTTCTAAAACCTAAAAAATCCTTCCCTATCTGGAAGTGATTTCATCTCACTTTTTCTTCATTCCCCTTCACCAAAGGTATAATTGACATAAGGTAAAATGCACAGATCCTAACCCTATATCCTGAGTTCCAAAAAACATATACACCCATATAACCAACACCCTAATCATATATAGAACAATTCCATCACCCCATAAAGTTTCCTGGTGTCCCTTTCCAGTCAATTGCTCCTCCACCACTTTCTATCACCAGGGTTTGTTTTGCCTGTTCTTGAACTTCGTACAAGTTAGCCTCTCCCCTTTTAAAGCTTGTGTAGTATTCGTATTCCCTACTGGACATATAGGTTATTTCACACACACACACACACACACACACACACACACACGCACAATTTGGGCTGTTTGTATTAATCTGTGAAATTTTTTCACATTAGTGAACATTGCTTAATCCCTTGGTTGGCTATGTGTAGCAAGTTTTTTTTTTCCCCACTGTCATATCTTCATTGACCTTTCATTGTTCCAAAGTATTATATTGGTTATTTGTGTATTTTAAATATTATGGTATTTAAATTGGCTTAAACAAAATTATGAACTTTTTTCTTATAAATCTGTTCTTTTTACAATCAATGATCACATACTTTCCTTTTGTAAACCAGAAAATGTTTCAACTTAGAAAAATATGGTAATTAAAGAATTAAGATATGATAGCCACGACACTAGTACTAAATGTTTTTAAATAATTTCTGGATTACAGAATCATAAGGAGTCTAAGATTACCATCTTTGAGAAAGAAAACTTTATTGGACGCCAGTGGGAGATCTGTGATGACTACCCCTCCTTGCAAGCCATGGGTTGGCTCAACAACGAAGTTGGCTCCATGAAGATACAAAGTGGGGCGTAAGTGCAAAAACAGGGTTGGAGTACATTTCAAATTAATTCCTGCAGATGCAAGCTTTGAATATTAACACGTCAATGGTTTTTTACCAGAATTCATACACTGACATCACATTGGTATGAATATCACATTCCAGTTACTAGTAATTTTGAATCTCAGGTTCATTGTACCAACTATCGCTTATGGACATGCCTCTATGGAAGCATTTATGTTGACTACTCTTGTACCTTTTTTCATGATCAAGATTAATTAACTAGCTGTAGTCATAATATGCTTACAAAGTGTCTGACACATTTAGGATGGCTGTTGTTTTTTTAAGCCTAAAAGTATCCTGTACCACGTTAAGGAAACCAGCTTAGGTTTTGGGGTGTTCACCAGATTCCTAATTAGTTTTAATAATGCAATGTGCTTTGGATTTCCTAGCTGGGTTTGCTACCAGTATCCTGGATATCGTGGGTATCAGTATATCTTGGAAAGTGACCATCATGGAGGAGACTATAAACATTGGAGAGAGTGGGGTTCTCATGCCCAGACTTCCCAGATCCAGTCGATTCGCCGAATCCAACAGTAGTGGATTAAAAGCTCCAAGTAAGAGAATCCTAAAGCATGAGACCTTGCTAAGCACTCTAGAATGAGTTTTATGTTCTGCTCACAGACATTGCTTTCAAATGTTAGCTGCTGAAACCCACAATAAATGTCATTTAAAAAAAAAACAACTTTGTAGACTGGATTAACTACCATCTTTTACACAAATCATTTACGTGGCTGAGGATATTTACAGATAAGCTTCATCAATAAAACCTCAAATTCCCTTCTGTGTCCTTGCAAGTCACCTACCAGGTCAAGGACTATTATTCTCTATCTTAAAGTATGTAACACAAACATTATGAGTCTCAATAGTGAAGGATACTTTTGGTAAATGTTTTTATGTCCTTTCTCCCCATCCCCTACTTTTTCTAATAATGTTGAAGTTAGCATTTTTTTCACCTTGTGACAAATCAGTGCTAAGGAAACAGGAAGTTTCTCCAGTGTGTGTATTTTTACATAGTTATGAATAAATCCAGAGTCTTGGCAGCTTAACATTCTAGATACTTAACTGCTTAACTCAATTTTGGTTTCTTATTTCAACTGGAAGAGCATAAGGCTCAATGTATTACGAAAAGGCAGGATAGTTGCTCTCACAGCTGATTTTTTCAATAAACACGCTAATTCTAAGCATTGTAATAATGATTAAAAAAAGAAAAAAATCAACAGGAAGACATATGACTGTAGTACATTTAGGATTTAAATTCTCTGTACATGTGACCCTTTGAAAAAAAATCATTATCAATGTCACAATCTTAACTTAGTTTTCAGTCAAGACTTTTTTAAAAAATTAAAGCACACAAAAGATAACAAACACCTCAGAAACTTTAAAATTTTTTATTCAACAATGTACACTTATTTTGTCTCTTAATTTTATTCTACAAATTTCTCAAGTTTTTCTTCTGATAAAATAAGTAAATCTGAGTATGGTTGTAGAGTGTTTGTAATTTATATTTTTAAAACACTGAACATGAAGTAAGACATCAATAAATGAAGATCATGTAATTGACTTCCTCAGAATCCATGACATCAGAAACAGCTAAGCATTTAGCAAAAGGGTAAATTTCTCTGGTGACTGTTCTTATATCTAGAAAAGACCTATCTTTTTGGGCAAAATAAACAAACTTTTTTTTAAAGGGGGAAGGGAAACCATCCTCTAACATAACTGTACTACACTATCCTTCCCCCAGATTAAGAGGTAACTCAGCTCCTAAGTGCCTATGTACATGAGACACAGAAATTACTTTACTCCTCCAATATGCTCTAAGACTGAACACAGTGAACTACTGACAGATGCAGGAGAGTAGCCATAGCCATCTAAGATAACAATGCTTGCTACACTCCTGCATTTCTGCTTTTTAAGGCCATACATTATGGGCCACCTTTCCAGTCTTGATTAGATGACTTAGTTTTTAACAGCCACTATCAATGAAGGTATAGGAGAAAGGATATTGTTGTGTTTTCAAAACCAATGACATACATCAATAGCACACTTAATGATAGACAAGTAACCCTCTTCTATACATTGGAAAAGCTATAAAATGGAAATTTATTTTTTATATCTAGAAGCATGGGGAAAATTCCATTATTAATATATTCTACTTAAACTTATTAGCCTCTCCTATAAAGGTCCTGAAGAAATTATAAAGAACTTTTAAAAGATCATCTGACAAAACTTGGCCAGTACTCTATACAATCTTATAAGTACACGTATGTGTGAAGTTAAGCTATTCAGTACATGCAGACTACAGTAACTGAACCAATGTGCTCAATTTCTAAACTTGTTCTAATTCGCTTGGGTAACTTTTAAAAGATATACTATCTTTAAAACAACCTGTCCTTTGATCTTTCAACAACTCAATGATTCTAATCCCAAACTAGTCATTCAGTAAAGCAAACTTACACTAAAGCAGGAAAGGTATTAAAAGGTTATCCTACCTTTAAGCCAGCATTAAGACATAAATTGTCACCAAGTCCCCATGTGACAAAGGTCCTTCATTTTAGTTTGAATTACTTCCCTTTTCTGTTTGATCAAATAACAGAAAAGTGCATCTAGTGATTTATAAAGCTAATAAAACTGCCCTGTTTCAAGAAAAGCCCTTTAATAGATACAAGTCAAGCTCTGATTTAACCTGAACTTTATTAAAATAGATGCCAGTTCTCCTCTCTTCTAGTTCCACTGATGAGCTAGCCTAGACCTGTAACTTTGAGCTCTGTTTCCAAAGATGGTAAAGCTAAGAACAATGTATTATAATAAGGACAGATAGGTCACTTTTGGTAATGACACACAAATTAAACTTTCAAAACATGTGCATAGCTTTATTCATCTACTTAGATCTAACCTTTTCATGGAGCTTCAGCAAAATTCGAGTGTGCAAAATGCATTTCTAAAACGTAATGCAAGCAAAGCTTTTCACATTTACACTGGCAGGAAATACAGAGAAACTAACAAGTCACATTAGGGAGAGTTCAGATCTTTTTTTTTAATGACAAGAATTGCACAGTTTATTATTTTGAGACAATTGTTGCAGACATAAATATTTTAAATTTTCTAAGCAAGGTGCTTTAACAATAAAAATTTTAAAGTTGGAAAGAGCCAATAACTGGGATCATAGCTCACACAGAATTCCAAATTAAAGTGGACTCCATTATCTCCCTAGGTTTTGCAAACAATGCTTTTATAACACTTTTTCTTAATAACACTAAAGGAGACAGCAAGCTGAAACTTTTTTTCAAAGCACACAAGAAATGGTGTCATCACATTACTTGAAGAAGGTGCTGAGGGGGGAAGAAAAGGGAGTGAAGAATCCTTTTACTATTTCCCACTACAGAACAGCCACTAACAGACTAATAACAAAAAAAAAAAGAAAAAAAAAAACAACAACAAAAAGATTAAAACACTTCCCCAGTTTACAAAATAGTTCCAGTTTGACAAGATCTATAACAGAGAGCACCAGTTGGGCAACAGAATGAGCATTTCATACTGCATAAAAATTAGTGAGGTGGTAAGAACCATCAACTATCTCGGCATTACTACATGGCCTTTCCAATTTTTTTTAAAATATACATGCAAGGCACATTGATATAAAAAATAGATCTCTGGCCAACAAATATATTAAATAAGCAAATTAAGTTTGGCTTTGTAATATTGGCAACATCAAAATACAACCAGATAGCTTTGGACCATACATCTTTCTCATATTCCTCCACCTCACTTGTTTCTCCGCCATTATTTTGGGTTCCATCTCCTTCAAATTTGGGTATGTGCTTGAGAAATGACTTTTCCTCTTGTCAAGCAGCATTCCTACTATACTTAAGTTTACCTTTGCTAAGTAAAAACATACTAGAGAAGCAGAATAGCCTGGCGTTTTGATTAATTTGATTAAATGAAATCTAACTGGTTCAGGACATTATTTCTCCTCTGCATACAAACAAAAAAGTCCCCAGCTCATATAGACAAGTGTTTTCTTTCTAAAAGATCAGCAACAAAACCAATGATCCTACTTCCTTTTAAGCCATTCTCCCCAATTCCTCTTTTTGAGGCAGAGAGAGGGAATAATAGAAATAAAGCTAAGATTTAAAATATTTTCAGTAGTAGAAGACATTTTAAGGCCAAAAAGTGTAATATTAACAGAATTTTTATTTTCCTAGGTTATTGTCCTTCCTAGGCCAATACCAACTACGGATGAGTTACTTGTACTGATTCCCTCCCAAAGAGAATTTTAAAATTCACTCACTTTTGTTAGTGGCTGTGCTACAGGAAAGGTATCAAAGCAACCTATGGTACATGTATGGTATATAGTAATGTAAAAAGTGCATCACATTCTTGATTTTCAGTTTCTCATAGCAGCAGCAGGATTAATCTAAGACAGAAAACAGCTGAATTTTCATTCTAAAAATCGACAATACCTAATGAAATGTATTCAAGATCATGAAAGGATCCTCCTCTATTAAAGGATAAATGAAAACAGAATAATAGACATAAACAGGGGTAAACTAAAGGCATTCATCCATATTTACATATTAAAACCACTTTTGTTAACACCGAATCTTTACATCTAGCAAACGAAATAAGCATTTTAAGAATAAAGCAGACATTTACTAAAGCAGTATCCATTTTTGGAGCCTTTTGATTAGCACCTGAGGAAAAAGGGTATATGGAAAGCTATATGAATTTACCTCAAGTTGATGTTGGTCTGCAGAGTAACTTTGTGATATACAATAAAAGTGAAATTGAACTGGAAAATAAATGTTTGTTGCTATTTTAATAAGGCTGTAGAAAAGGGATACTGCAGTACTATAAAATGGCTTTAGAACTCTAGACATAACAAAATTCTATGGATAAATAAGAAAGTCAGAATCAGCAATCCCAACACATGTGAGGATGGCTATTCCATAGTTTTTAGCCTATAACTGCTATTTGACAATCCCAGTAATGCAGAAACAATACACCATTCATGCTTGACTGGGTGTTTTTACTACACAGACAACTTAAAACACCATTCATACTATTGCTGGCATCCTTTAACTACTTTCTTGAGCAGCAAAACAGTGTGAAATTGAATTTAAAACCCAGTAAAGCAGTGCTTTTGAGTGAAGCCAATTATTCATCATTCTTTTAATCAACCCAGGGTGGGCCAGGTTCTCACACATTTGAACGGAGTGATGTATATTAAAAAAAAAAAAATTTAACATACTCAAAGCAGAAGCCCATCTTTTTACCATAAAAGAATCTTGGTGCTCTCTTAATTACATTAATAAAAATAACATCAATATTAGGAACTAATCTTAACCTATATGCCTCTGGTAAACCTAGAGTAGCTATTTATACGTCTAATCTTGTCCTCTGCCCCTCCCTTTTAAACAAATATCAATACTCTGGGGGGAGGGGAGACTGAGCAGATACTACCTTCTTTCCTTTAAAACCCAACAGTTAAGTCATGAGTAGGACTAGGAAAAGACACTGCCCTATCAGAAACTACCCTGACTGGTATAGCATCAACAAGACCTGATCATAAAAACTATTGTCCATTATATATATTTGTCCCACTATTACATATCTGTTCTGTAATTAGCATACATATACAAGGATCGTGTGTTATTCCAGTACATGGTTCAGTGGCATAACTATACCCATAATCTTTGGAGAGCCTTGCAAGAATGACTCCCTCATTATTTAGTGGAATTTAAAGTTGAATAAAGTCTTCCTCCAATTTCCTTGCTAGTGGCCATTTGGGACATGACATATAATTTCACACTAAATGGCTTTTCTGTGTTTAAAAAAGTTTACAGGAATTACAAACGATAAACCATTAGATGCCTCTGATGTGGGTTAGCAATAAGCCTAACAACCAAATATGAAACTACTGCTGCTATTGTGTATTAGACAACTCCCATAGTTGAGGTTTGTCGTATTTTCCCTTAAAACTGTTTTGAAAAAACAGTGCAGCACTTTTCCATTATAAAGTTTTTGCAGACTGAGTGATGACTTGGTAAGCAGATGATTAAGGAGGACAGCAAAATTCTAAAATGGAGAGAAACTCTCTGGCCATTTATTTCAAGGAAAAAAAAAACCAAATTGTAATTAACAAATAGTTATTGGCTATCCCCTCCTAGAAAGTAGAGGAGGAAGAAAGGCTACTATAGATGCTGTAAATACACTTTATGTGATGGTTCCTTACTAAGGAGGTTAGAGAAAAGGCTAGGCAATTTAACTTCAGTTTAGCAAAGTGGGAGTGAATAAAGAGAAAGATAAATACACCCTGTCTTTTGTGGGAAAGGGGAATTATTCAAGACATCTACAGGAGTGGTACATGACACAGAAGCCTACAATAATCAAGATAGTTTTAAAAAGAAATCTTCACCCATAATTAGTATCTTCATAGCTATTAAAAAAATAGGTCATGATTTCATTCTTAGTGCCATTTTTCAAATACTACCCTTTTAAGGATTTAAACCACCTGACTTTATTCTGTGTAATGAAAACAAATGGCACAAAATAAATACAAGTTCATTCTCTGAATACTAATGTCTTACACACATTCATTTACTAAGTTTTAATATCTGCATCTTTCACTCACATACAAGCACTCAACACACATACATACACACACACACCTTTTTCAGTCTTTATAATGGAGGGATGTTAAAAATCCCCACTAGACTGTATTTGGTTTATGCTACAGTACTAATACTCTGAGTTGAAGGAAAATTCTTGATATCAAACAATAACACATTAATGTTACTTAAATGTGCTAAATTAATCACAGCTGAAGTTTGTTTAGAAGTTTACACAAAAATAATCAGAAAACAGATCAACTCTTAAGATTTTTTTTTAATAAGTGCTCTGTAAGGAATTGTGTGAGGACCTAAGGAGAAAGATTGCAACAAGTAGAGTTAAGTTTTACCAAACAGCACAAAGGAAATTTGTCCCGAAGTCCTGCTTGTACCTAGGCAATTAAGTCCATTAACCCAATGCCCAAAAAATACTGACAGATAATTTGACGGGGCACTAGCGTTCCCAGAAAGTTAAGTGACATTCCTAACTATATACCTCTAACCATATAATCAAGGAAATTTCAGTGGAGAAATCAAAGTGAAATGTTGCATTGTTTCATTTAGAAGTGAGACTCTCAAAAACCTTTGGACAAACAGAAGGGATACATTCTCTTTTTGGCTTCTCTGAACATGGAGGCCTGAGGGATATGAAAGGAAATTAGGATAGCCATAGCTTTCTACAGATATTTAATTAAGTGTTGCTTCTAAGTTAAAAAGCCCAATTCTGATGGGGGCTGGTTCTTTTTTTTTTTTTCCTTTTAGAATATTTATTCATTCAACCTCTGTAATGTCACAAACCCAGAAAGTTTCTTGTGAGTTGTTGAGACAGAAGAAAATTCCAGGCAAGCAAAATGGACATTTAAAAAAAAAGGGAGGGGAGGGGATCTGGCCCTAAGGCGACAAGTGGTTACACAAGGCAATTGAACACACAGCAGAACTTTAAAACCTGTAAAACAAACTGGAGCCTTTTTTTTCCCTTTAATCAACCTTGTATCTTTTTTTAAACTTTTTGAAAATTTTTATTTAAAAAACACAAAAACACAGACTTTTTTCACTTCAGTATGTGGTATGTTGCATTTTCCAGTTTGTTCAATGCTTTAAAGCTCAAGGATGCCTCTGCTTTCAATTGTACATGGGCCTGAAGCATCCTAGCTTTTGGCAAGCAGGCAGGAGACTCAACAAAAATCAAAATAGGAACAAGGCAGACTAAATGCAGGGCACATCTGTAAACATATTATACATTTGAAAATTACAATATCAGTAAAAGTGATACAGTTTACAGGTGAAATGAAACTATCTGGAACTGGCCTACCACAAGTTTCTGAACCTGGACTGATACAATAAGTTATTATATATATATATTATGTATAAAAAAGTTTTGTTTACATCAAGTGGAATTGGCAATCCATGCTTATACTTTTAAAATCTAAGCAGGGCAGAAATCCAGGCTAAAAAGATATTTTCTCTACTCTATGTTGAGTCCAACAGCTTCTTTCATGAACTACTTGTTAAAAGTCTCAAATAATCAACAGAACAAGAAAACCCATCCATACTACCAGTCACTCGAAACTGGACATTTCTTAAGCAAAGGGGTAGAGCAAAAGTAGTTACTTTCTCCCCAAATACCCCAGGGGATCCAGTCTACTTTTATTAGAAGACTACAACTCCTTATATTAAATATAAATGCCCTGCTATTTTAACCTGTATTTGACATACATGGATATACTAAGTTCTGTGTGTGTTTATGTGATGTGATGCTATGTCAGGCCAGACAACTTGTTATTATGCCACTAACATCACCCAATCTTAATTGGACCCTTAATTTCTGCACACACACAAATTTATTTTAGCATGCTATACACAAGCTGCAGTGCAACAGGATGGCAATGTGATGATAAGACAGGGCTAATGCTCTTCTCTGCCCAAAATAAAATTTCCAGAATTTCACATTATTTTCCTTAAAAACCCATTTTGCTCTAGTACTAAAATATACTTACTAAGATATAATTAGAAGCTAATAAGCTCAGAAGTAATAGTTTGCATGAAAACACACCTATAGGCAGGGTTTATTACCTCCTCACTGGCTAAAAACATGAAGTTTTAGTTTTCGTGGACCTTTTGCTTCCCCTTTTAAATTTTGCTGACAAATTAAAAGAGAATTTACAGAAAGGTACAGAAGTTTCTCTTTGATGTTTGAAGAAAAACAAGGAAAACAGCACATTTAGTGTTAGTGACAGAGAGCAAGTCTGGAGCACCTACAGTTGAAAAGCAGAATATATTTTTGCTCCCAGTTATACAATTACATTAAAATATGGGCACAGGAATATTTTTCCATATTGAATATCCAAACCAATTGCTTGTTCTGCAACTTATTAAAAATGACACTCATGGATTCTTCAGTTGTTAAATTGAACCAAAACCAAGTTAACTATGTACCACCAACTATTCCAGAATTGTAGAACTTCAAGGCCCTCCCCTATCCCCACCCCACAAAAAATAAAAGGAAAGAAAGAAAAGATTTCCCCAACAACCCACAGAGGCTGCTTAACTCCTGGCAAGACATGCAAATCATATTCGCTAAAAAAATACAGCCCTGCAAACTTCAAGGCATTTATCCAGCATTCTCGCAGGGCTTAAAGTAAAACCAAAAGATCAAAGGAGGAGTGGGGGGAAAATGTTGAATCATTCTGGGTTCCCCGTGATTAGTGTATCACTTTAGTCACAGAACAAGATACAGAGATCTTTTAAGTGGATTTGCCTTTCCAGTGGGTCATTTGTTGCCCAAGTTGATGACAGCAGGAACTTTAGAACCACACTTGTTAAGTCTGTATTCATTAATCACTTGCATTCACACTTAAAAACAAAAACTAACGAAAGAAAAAAGAAAAAAAAAACTATTCAGTACCGGAGATTAAATAACCATGTGTAGTCTCTTGAAATAAATTTGATTCCTTAAGAAGTCTAATTACTTTCAGTTGCCTTTTTTTTTAAATAACTATATATATATATGTATATATATATATTTGTATATATTATCCTGTGATTCTACTTATGGTTCCTCTGCTGCGTTGAAGATCTAGGAGCATAAAAGCCTTGTGTCCCCCATGAACGGTGGCTCTAATGCTGCAGAAAGGTTACGAATAGGCAGTCTGGTCCTTCATTGATCTGGACTATCCATGGCTTCATTGTAAGTGATTATCCTTTTGGGATCTGGAGGGAAGATTTAAAAAAAATAGTAAAAATGAAGTCTGGAATCCCAAAATGCCCATGTTCCAAAAACAAATCCCAAATAATCATCATTTAAATTGTACCCCTTTTTACGAAAACACAACTTAAAAGGCCATTTCTCTGTGTAGTAACACATGTATGATCCAATTGCTCAACCCAAAAGTAGCTGTTTGGCATTCCAATGAATTCCCAGTAACAAGGTCTTCTAGGCAATGAGGACCTCAACTCCTAAGATCAGAGTAGGATGAGTTCAGTTACTAAGAGTTTTCTTTATGTGTTTCTCCTGATTACAGAAGCAGTATATTTGAAAAAAACAAAGAAAAAAGCTTAAGTCATCAATGATCCAATACTGAAACAAACACTTGGATTTATTTTCTTTTGCTATTCTCAGTGAATGAAGTCAAAATTTATTTTAACCAGTGTGGACTATCTAGCAAGAAACGATTCAAGTAAAACCTAGTACCAAAAACTTCATGTTATATAAAGTTTGGCAGAACTTCCAATTTAGTCCTAATCATGACTTATTCCTTCTTCCTAATTTCCCACAGTACCTTTAGCCTTTACTCTTAGCAACAGCAAAAGCCCACGGATCTCCCAAGTTCATAACATAAAACTGTCAGTGTGTGTCTGGGCAAAGATTCCAGGGTTATTCTGAAGTGCTATTTTAAATTCCTATTATATAGCTGTATGTATATAGCCCCTCTTATGTAGACGCAATGTTTTTATTATATACCATTTCTATCTAGTATTAAAAGTATACATGCTTAAAAAACAGGCAAACCAGTAAAACCTGTCACCTAATGAAAAATTTTTAAGGCCTATAAATAATATTGGAAAAACTCAAGCTCACTTCAACCTAAGAATCAAACTAGTTCAGTCTAAAGATAATGTCACTTCTGGGACTTCAAGGTCATCACTAGCAACCTGCCATGAAGATAATGCTCATTCCTAATAGTTAATAACCATTATACAGTAAAAACAGGTAGGTCTCCTTTGCAAGGTATATTTTCTAGTCTAGCTTCTTTTAATTTGTGTTTGATTAAAAAGGTACACGGAGGCCAGGCACAGTGGCTCATGCCTGTAATCCCAACACTCTGGGAGGCTGAGGCAGGAGCTCGCTTGAGCTTAGGAGTTCAAGACCAGCCTGAGCAAGAGCAAGAGCAAGACCCAGTCTGGGGGTGGGGGGGAGGAAAGAAAAAAAAGGTAGAAAAATCAACTCAAAATAATTTAAGAGCTTGCTAGTCATATCATCAGGCCACAGCCATGTTAAACAAAACCTTGACCTAAGAACAGGGGGGAGGTAAAAGGAGCAATGCTGGGAAATCAGGGAAAGCTGCATTGCAGTGCTAGTCCTACCGCTCTTCTGGCTTGTATAGTAACCTCTCTGGGCCTCAGTTTCATAATACGTAAAATAAGAAGAGAATTTCTAATGTACTTTTAAGTCCTGAAATTCTAGGATTTTCACATTCATCTGAAATTCATTTATATTAACTAGCATAACAGATGAGGAATGGGATACAATTCAGTTACATGGCTCTGAAAATCCAAATCTATTAGTCAGTGACTGGTTCTCCAACCAAAACTCTCACTTTATTGTATGTATTCCACAATAAAAGTATTCTAATATATTTGGTAAGAAGGCACACGATATTTAGTATAATCAATTTTAATTTCTAACCATTTTTTCAGAGAACATACAGCCCAGATAAGGTTTCTACAATAGCTAATAATTTTCTGAACTGTGAATTTCAGTTCTTAGCTATCCCTTGCCTACCACACAAACATAGCTAAAGACTGCCCAAAAGAGGAAACACTTAATCATGTCGGTTTCCTAGATTAAAAACACTTATGGTTTGTCTCACTTTCATAGTCAGGGAGGAAAAAACCATTCACACTCTTCATCCAACAGAGAAAGAGGACTTTCACATATTCTTTTCACTTACATTGTTACCCCATCTTTAGTAGTCTTTAGCAGTCCTGGTATGGTAGCTAATGACTTTTTTTTTTGAGACAGGGTTTCACTTTGTTGCCCAGGCTAGAGTGAGTGCCATGGCGTCAGCCTAGCTCACAGCAACCTCAAACTCCTGGGCTCAAGCAATCCTTCTGCCTCAGCCTCCCAAGTAGCTGGGACTACAGGCATGCAGCACCATGCCCAGCTAAGTTTTTCTATATATATTAGTTGGCCAATTAATTTCTTTCTATTTATAGTAGAGACGGGGTCTCGCTCAGGCTGGTTTCGAACTCCTGACCTCGAGCAATCCGCCCGCCTCGGCCTCCCAGAGTGCTAGGATTATAGGTGTGAGCTACCACACCCGGCCGCTAATGACTTTTGACTGCAGTTATTAAATAATTTAAAATACAAAGTCTATACATTTATTATTCCCATCCAAAAATAATATACAGTGAATACTACTAGTATTAACATTTCAAGTAATCTAACCATTCTTACCTTGCTTCTGCAAATTCCAAATAGATTCCATTTCTGCAAAGAAAAAAAAAGGATTATTTTATACATTAAGTTTTGGTGAGCTTAAAACTATGTTTTTCATTTTAAATCTTAAAAACCTAGACTGATCATTGCTGGGCTGGAGGTAGAGCTGAAAATAGCACAATTCTATGAAGCTCAAAGCATTCATATTTTCCCATAGTTCTTAAGTGTCACCTATGTTGTCTTAAGTGTTGATTACAGAAAGTCAATTATTATCTGAAATCAAATTGCCAGAATAATTTTGTCTTCACAAGTAGCAAAGATATGCTATGCAAGCATGCTACACAAATAAAATGGTATCTCTCACAATAGCTCATCATTAAAAAAAAAAAAAAAAAGCAACAAGTATTTCTTGGTAACCCACTACCCCTAAATGAGGTGCCCACCACATCTTCTGAATGAAGCATTTGTCAAATGTGGTTAAACTTGATGCTTAATTAGTTTAACTACCCAGTGAAATGGTTCTGACCTCTAAACCACATCTACTCTTATTTTAACCTATAAGGTCAAACAAAATGCCAATACATATCCATTTATTTGCTCCAATTTCATGTTTACAATATGCTCACTTTGGCATTTTACAATAGGGGAAGTATGTGCATGACCAAACTATAGCTGTAAGAACTCTACCGGGCATATAAGAAAGCTTCAAGGAGATATCCGAAGTCTTAATAAACAAGACAGCAGACTATTATTTAAGAACCAAAGAAGTAGATCTTGAAAGGAAATATTTTACTGCAAGATTACTTAGTAACAGGAATGAACTGTAACAAACACTAAGGATAAGTATGCTTCCCATGGTCATACAAGTATCATTTTGAAAGGATAAAAAGATTATTTTATTTTGTATAACTATATTCTGTTTATCAGCTATCAACTATAATATTAAAAAAAAATAAAATTTGAGCCCATTAAGGTGGGATGTATCTGGACATGGGTTACAGTTAAGGTAGCCCATCCCCAGAACTAAAATAAGTGTATAGATCTAAAATTACTACTTTCTTGATTTATGTGTATGGATAGGGCAGGGATTGGTAGAATCATACTCCCACACCTATCACAAGAATCAAAACCATGTCTAAAAACTGAGAAGACTTTTCAAAAATTTGTCAAAATTTGATGTTTGGATCAATAGAGTTATTATTCAAAACGAGCAAAATTAATTATCCAGATAAAATCCCAATCTAGGTATCACAGCACTTCCCTGACCACCAGATTAAACCAAATCTGGGAATAATGAGCTGAATAATTGCCAATTGTCCAAGCTTAGTTGTATGGTATGGCCTTCAAATCTCTGGGCAGATACCTGTCCAAAGACAGGCAGGAAAATTCTTTCTCCTGGGAAGTCAAAGAAGGGAAGAGAACTATAATCAAACCTAATCTGAAGAAAAAAAAATATGACATACCAGGAAACAAAATTTAGGTATGGGGAGCATGCCTGTCACTCCAATAAAATTCCTAATTCCATTAGCTTCAGACAACAAGGACTAGCTGGAAATAGTCTTTACTATTAGAGCTCTTATCCTACAAATTTCTGGATCTCAGAGTGACTTATTTTAAAGAAGTCCAAAGATAAAAGCCCTATCTTGGTTGATCTGACTGCGAACAAAATTCCAAAAAAAAAAAAAAAAACAACAACAACAACAAAAAACAACCCAATATGTTTTCTTTTAGTGAAAGTACAGGAATTCCACATTTTGCAGCAAATAAATTCCTGAAGAGTCTTATATACACCCATTACTTGATACTCATTATTTCTGGTTTACTGCAAAGATTTAGTTGTATGTTAAGAAAAAAGTTATTCAAACTTTTCACATTAGCCTGCCTATGCTATAAGATTTCCTTTTCCCCACTGTAAGCCTTAACCTGTCCCTGCACAACCCCACCCTTTTTTTTCCTTGGAGGACAGGGATACACTCCAGAGTCATAATAACAATCACACTACTTTAAAAACAAAGCAAACATACATTATTTTAGAATAAAGAAGACAAAAATAACTATTCACAAACACCCAATTCCTTTAATAGGCTGAAGACATTTCCTTATCTCAGCTTAAGGTTTTATTCAAATACTAAAGATTTTTAAATGATTTCTGGTAAGCAAATTTTATTCTCTGCAAATGTGAGCTCTGGAATAGTGAATTTGACCAGGACTTCTTGGGGTGGGGGGGAGGGAGAAAGAAGGTATGATTGTAGCTAAAAACTCCATCACAGACCAGCCTAGCATCTAGCCAAGAAATAAATGAGCAGTGCTAAAAAGGAGAGGAAACAAATCAAATAATGTCTGCATGATGATATGCCATGCTTAAACAACCCTACGAAGACTAAGTGACACCAGTGATGTAACACCTAGAAAAAGACTGACATTACGTTTTGCTCTCTTCTGGGTTACAAAAGTCTCAACTCAGATTATGAATATGAAATGTTACTTTGTACAACTTAATATTTTAACTATCCCAAGAGAAGTTAAACAAGTGACTAGTATAATGACGGCTAAGAAGGCACTTTCAACTAAACAAAAATCATAACATGCAAGTTGAGTATTCTCTATATGAAATGCTTGGAACCAGAAGTATTTCAGATTTCGGATGTTTTTGGGTTTTGAAATATTTTGCATTATACACTTATTCTTGGAAATGCTCCAATGATTTCTGGTAAGCAAGTGTTTGAAAAATGCCCACATGGGCATGTCTGATAACATAAATAAATTTTTTTTTAAAGATATACCAAAGTAGGCAATTTTGTTAAAACTCTAATTTAAACCACCACCATCAAATTTGAAATTTTACTATATCAAAACTTGAAAGCTAGGCATGGTAGCTCACGCCTGTATCCAAGCACTTTGGGAGGCCAAGGCAGGAACATTGCTTGAGCCCCCAAGTTTGAGACCAACCTGGACAGCAGAGTGAGACCACATCTCTAAAAAAATTTTTTTAATTAGCTGGATGTGGTAGCAGATGCCTGTAGTCCTAGCTACTCCACCCATGAGTTTGAGGCTGCAGTGAGCTATGATCACACCACACTGCATTCCAGCCCGGGGGACAGAGTGAGATCTTGTCTATATAAATATATACATAACTCTTGCAAATATTTAGTTATATCATTCATCAAATGAAAATTCAATGTTCAATTTTTTAGAGCAGACTACTTTCTACATAGCTCCTCATCACAGTGCTTCCTATAGTGAAATGACCAGTTACTTGTGAGTTCTTAATTCCAAGTGGGTGAAAAAGCACTATTTAGGAGCTCAGGTTACAAATACAAAAAGATGCTTTCTGTGAGCTTAGTCTAGTAGGCAACTTTGTTGGGATGGTGGGTTCTAGGTAAAAAGCATCAGCATGAACAAAGGCTAGTAGTATTAAAGAACAAAGTGGATGCTAGATCAGGGGTCAGCAAACTGGGTTTCTGTCTACCACCTGTTTTGCAAATAAAGTTTTATTGGAACATAGCTATACCCATTGTTTATGTACCACCCACAACTGCTTTTGAGCTACAATGCAACTTTTGAGTAGTTGCAACAGAAAATCTATGGTTCATAAAACCTAAAATATTCACTATCTTGCTCTTTAGGCCATAAGTTTACTGACCCATGCTTTAGTGGCCACAAGCAATTTAGTAAGGCTGAAAGTCACTAAGAGTGAAAGATTTAGAGAAAGAACACTATTCAGGGGACAAAGAAAAAAGTATATATGAAGGTAAGATTATTTAATCTATATAGGTGAAAGGAAGCCACTGGAGAAATCTGTGATTACTCTACTAAATACAATTGATTCCTCAAGGCAACTGAAGAGAATAGAATAGATGGAGTGACAATAGGGAAAGAGAACCCAATAAATATTACTGAAAAAGAAATTAGGACAGTTGTATCAGAGATGTAAAAGATACAAATGGAGATCTCAGAGATAGAATCCATATAATCTAATGATAAATTGGGTTAATGCTAATTCACTGAGAAGGCAGGAAAGGTTTTAGAAGAGAATGAATTTGATTTTAAATACATAGAATTGGAGTGATGATGTTGAATATATGTGATCCGAACTCAAGAAGATCAATTGAACAAGCCTAATATACAGAGAGAGAATTCCCAGGGATATTCGTGTAGCATGAAAAGGGGGACTTAAAACCAAGTCTCGCTCAGTCACCCCAAGTAGAGTGCAGTGGCATCATAGTAGCTCACTACAATCTCAAACTCCTGAGCTCAAGCAATCCTCCTGCCTCAGCCTCCACAGGCATGTACCACCATGTCCTGATCATTTTTTTATTTTTAGTAGAGACAGGGTCTCGCTCTTGCTCAGGCTGGTCTTTTAACTCCCACAGTGGGAGGCAGAGGTACAACTACCCCTTCAGCCCAGGAGTTCAAGATTAAAGTCTATGATTAGGCCACTTCACTGCAGCCTGGGTGACAGAGCAAGATCCTGCCTCTAAAAAAAAAAAAAAATTCTTTTCAAATTGAATACTACTACTGTATCAGTTAATAGGAAATTAAAAACTCGGCATCTAAATTAAGACCTCAGTCACATAATGGCTCCACCAAAAAGCTAACTCCTACAAGTGAGAACCCCCAAATCAATTTACCACTAATCATGCCTTCAAACCTCTTATTAAGCCATTTTATGTCAAATTCTGTAAAGTTGGCAGGGCACAGTGGCTCATGCCTGTAATCCTAGCACTCTGGGAAGCCAAGGCAGCAGATTTTGCTTGAGGTCAGGAGTTTGAGACTAACCTGAGAAACAGCAAGACCGTGTCTCTATTAAACATAGAAAAATTAGCTGGGCATCGTGATGTGCACCTGTAGTCCCAGCTACTTGGGAGGCTGAGGCAGGAGGATCGCTTGAGACCAGCAGTTTGAGGTTACTATCAGCTAGGCTGATACCATGGCACTCTACTCAGGGCAACACAGTAAGACTGTCTCAAAAAAAAAAAAAAAAAAAAAAAGTAAAACTGTCAAGTTTGGTGACATGGCAAACTTAAATTCTGCTTTTCCGGCTGGGCACA